TAGCCTAATTTGAGTGAAAAGCGTTTAAACCCTTTTCAGTTTTGGTCAGTTTTTTACAATTTGAATAATTATTCTGAAAAAAACGGTGTGCGCGAATGATCTGAAATTTTGCACAAAGATTAGTGGTCTAAACCTACATCAAAGGGTACAATTATCTGGAAAAAAAATTTTCAGTTCCATCATGTCAAAAAACCTCAGTGGAGTCCCTTTAACGGTAAAAAAACATCTTTTTCATAGCTTTTCCCAAATTCTGCCTTAATATCACAGAAAAGTGAGAAAACCATATCCCTTGAAAGTATGAGGATGGCACAAAATAAAAATAACAAAAAATTTACAAAATCTAAAAAATACATGCAGGGAAAGAAAGGAAACAACAACAACAAAATTTACAACACTGATTTTAATGTGTAATGAAATAAAGATGGCAACATAATGAACAAATAAAGCAGATAAGGAGATCCACTTAACACCTCACATAAACTAGTGCCTAAAAAATTAAATCATCTTATATAACAACAACAACAACAATAGCAAATAAATTTTCACCTTAACCCTTAGCTTGCCGAGAACACATTATAGCCTTTGTAAAAACTTTGGTACCAGGCCTGACCAAAGTACCCAAGAATTTTGCCGGGTACCAAACTAATTGACAGTCATTTTTTTTTATTTTGGAGAAAGAAAGCAGATGACATTTTAAGCAGATGTCACATTTACCAGCATGTAAAGGGTTAAAACAAACAAAAAAATCATAATAATAAAGCACAGACAAAATTAAAGAATCTATAATAAATAAAAACATTTTGAAAATTAAGGTTTTCTATACCAGCACCTTAATCTTGTTTTTAAATTCGATATCATTGTGTATTGATCCTAAATGACTCCCGTGATTTTAAAATGTCCGAGACTTGAAATGTACATAATTATGTAATATGTTTGACTATCTCATTATGATTAATTCAAATTGTTAACAATTTAAAAGTTTTGATCACAATTTTCATGACAATACTTACAATCATGTCTGAAGCCAATATAAATCAAGTCATTGGATAATCTAAATTTCATTCTTAATAGCAGCATGCCTCCAGATCCATGCTTATTTTGATGTGAAATTTGCTTTAAATATCGCAAAAGTGAACTAATTAAATTCAGTTTATAAACAAAATTATTCTAGTTTGATCAAGTACGAAGCTTATAGACACACTTATCACCAACCAGTACTAAGCAATGAGTGATCTATTTTGCACTTGAGAAGGCAACACCTTACTCACGACAAGATTCGAAACCCAAAAAGCCGGCAATCTTTAGATTACTAGTCTGACGTGTTAACCACTCGGCCAAACAGATAACATTAAATTACTTAGATTTGATTTTAATAAAATTATGTTAGCTCATTTGAAGGCGTGCAGCTTTCATTGAATTGATATAATTATATAGTTAACCATTAACCCTTCACCTGCTGGAACTGGATTGATTACCTTTTCCAACCGGTATAGAGCCAGGCCAGTCTGCCTATTCCTGTCGAGGGTCTGGACAAGGCTCTGTACTCTGGGTAGCTCATTTGTCTAGTATTTTAACACTGAAATCCCTTAAACTTTGAATAGACTGTTCCAAATTCAAAACTGGGCAAATCCATTTCATTTATACAGCAGGTTCAGGGTCAAACCAATATATCTAAAAACATTATTTACTTATTTTTCAGACAGAATGAACCCAAACATTATAGCTCAACATACCCGATGGGTTCACTAAGTGACGTTGAAGACTTTGTGAAGTCGGGCAGCAGTTGAACAAGTAGTTCCTACAAAACATAACAAAACTTGCACAAAAAAAAAGCAAAAAACTCTCAAGATAAATGTAACGTCAACTCAGGTTTTCTCATATCAATATAGTGAAAAATGCGCTTTTTCAAATATTACAGTGTTCTATTTCTTTTTTTTTTATTGGGTTTTACTTTGTACCAACACAGTATAGGTCATATGACAACTTTCTAGCTTTACTGATGGAGGCAGACCTCAGTTGCCCCATTGTGCATTATTTCAGGCACAAACAGGCACCTGAGTAGAACCACCAACGTTCCATAAGCTAGCTGGATAGCTTCCTCAAATGAAGCCCCTTATAAAGTATGTATTTCGTACCAAGTTAATATGAGATACCTGCTTTAACAAGCATTTTAAATCAGGTGGCTATATTGACAACAATAATTTACTTTAAAGAAAATTGTGTCAAAATAAAAATATGACCTCTGTAGAATGGTAACAAATCAAAGGTTGACAATTACAACACACAAAATAAAAGGTGCAATAACTTATATATCATACAAATAGAGATCACATAGCTGTATGTAAGTGAGAAGATGTTGTAAAATTATATATACTTTTCATCACTTAACAATATTTATGTAAGAAGAATTGTCAATAGAAATAAAAGCATTAACAAAATAATTGCAAAAAAAACAATAATTTTTGTTTTTATACTTTGTCGTCAAAAAAACCCCCCAAAAACTACTCTACACAAGTTTTACCCTTACATTGTTTGCATACATTGATTACGATTTGCCTATCCACTAGTATACAAGCCAGGCCAGCCTGCACATCCGTACAGAGTGACCTGGCTTTGTACAGTTGGTATCTTGGTTAAGCAAACTAACAATGAAAACAGTTCTGAAATGAAAACAGGACATATCATAATAAGTAGGGTACGGTTATTAATACTGAAATATGTACTTGTCAAGCAAACCATTGTCAAAGTAAAGGTATCATGTCAATTAACTTTCACACAAGCGACCAGTGCAGATCAAGATCAGCTCGCACCTCCGTCCCATCCGATCATGGTCTGCTCTGGCGCTATTCAGTCAGAACATATTTGGAAATTTTCCCTTAAAAATGATGAATGATTGCATAAAGATTGAAAGATGAACATGTTCATTTAAGATATTAAGCACGGTGTGGGTTGAATAACCATCTGTAATTGTTTAAGTATATTTACAAACAATTTGATTGTATATAAATTTAGGCAGTCCTGATAATTGAGCCGTGTCATGACAAAACCAACATAATGGGTTTGCGACCAGCACTGATCCAGACCAGCCTGCGCATCCTCGCAGTCTGATCAGGATCCATGCTGTTCGCTATCAGTTTCTCTACTTGTAATAGGGTTGGTAAGCGACCAGCATGGATCCTGATCAGACTGCGCGGATGCGCAGGCCGGTCTGGATCCATGCTGGTCGCAAACGCACTATGTTGGTTTTGTCGTGACGCGGCTCATTTACAAACAATTTGATTGTATATAAATTTAGGCAGTCTTGATAATTTGTTACAGTTTATCTTCAATAAAACTGAAGATGAAACATATAGAAATTGTTTCTCAGAAACAAATTTAGATGCCTTGAAAACTCTGCTCCCACTACCAGATGCTTTTTAAAATAAGTTTGAAATACATTGTCATATCTGAAGATGAACTATTTTTAAACATTATGGATGCTTCAACCATGATGGTTGAAGTCCTTCAATCAATTCTATTTATAGATCACTGTCACCTTGACCTGAACCTAAAGTCTCATTGACCTTTAGCCTGCAGCACTGGCGGGAACTAAATCTACCCATGCAACCAGTGCATACCAAAATCAACTGGCATGACCCTGGAATTTAAATATGGTTAGCACCGTTTGCTTTCCCCATCACTGGGCGTCAGTACTCAAATTGAAATTTTACCCAAAAATTAAGAATGGTTTTGTCCAGAATATAAGAGAGACAAGTCTATTTGTGGTATTTAGTGCTGATGAAGTTAGAATACTTATCTATAATTGAACAAGAGGGCCATGATGGCCCTAGATCGCTCACCTGAATTATCAAACTCATCCAAACAATTACCTAGACAAGCATTCTGACCAAGTCTCATGACAGGTGAGTCAAAAATGTGACCACTACAGTGTTAACAAGGATTATCCATATTTGAGCAGTGCGACCTAGTTTTTTACCCAGGTGACACATATTCAAACTTGACCTAGAAATCATCAAAACAAACTTTCAGACCAATTTCCAGGATACTTGGATCAAAACAGTAGCAACTAGAGTGTTAACAAGATTTTTCTATTTTTAGCTCCGGTGACCTAGTTTCACATGCGATTTCGAACTAATCCAAGCAATTACCTAGACAAGCATCCTGACCAAGTTTGATGATAATCGAGTCGAAAATGTGACCACTAGAATGTTAACAAGGTTTTTCCATATTTGGGCGGTGTGACCTAGTTTTTCATCCAAGATGACCCATGTTTGATCTTGACTTAGAAATCATCAAAAAAAACTTTCAGACCAATTAACAGAATATTTGGATCACAACAGTAGCCACTAGAGTGTTAACAATATTTTTCTATTTTTAGCTCATGTGACCTAGTTTTTCATCCGAGATGTCCCATGTTCGATTTATTCCAAGCAATGACCTATTCAAGTTTCCTGACCAAGTTTGATGACAATTGAGTCAAAATTGTGACCACTAGAGTGTTAACAAGGTTTTTCTATTTTTAGCTCCTGTGACCTAGTTTTTCATCCGAGATGACCCATGTTCGAACTCATCCGAGCTATCACCTAGACAAGCATCTTGATCAAGTTTGATGATGATTGATGCAAAAATGTGACCGCTAAAGTGTTAACAAGGTTTTTCTATTTATAGCTCCGGTGACCTAGTTTTTCATCCGAGATGACCCATATTCGAACTCATCTGAGCTATTATCTAAACAAGCATCCTGACAAAAGTTTGATGATGATTGGGTCAAAAAATGTGACCACTAGAGTGTTCACAAGGTTTTTTCTATTTTTAGCTCCTGTGACCTAGTTTTTCATCAGAGATGACCCATGTTCGAACTCATCCAAGCAATTTGACTAGACAAGCATTCTGACCAAGTTTGATGATGATTGGTTCAAAAAATGTGACCACTAGAGTGTTCACAAGGTTTTTCTATTTATAGCTCCTGTGACCTACTTTTTTCATCCCGAGATGACCCATGTTCGAACTCATCCGAGCTATCACCTAGACAAACATCCTGACCAAGTTTGATGATGATTGGGTCAAAAATGTGACCTCTAGAGTGTTCACAAGGTTTTTCTATTTTTAGCTCTTGTGACCTAGTTTTTCATCCGAGATGACCCATGTTCGAACTCATCCGAGCTTTCAACTAGATAAGCATCCTGACCAAGTTTGATGATGATTGAGGCAAAAATGCGACCGCTAGAGTGTTCACAAGCAATTGTGGACGGCCGGACGGACGACGGACGACGGACATTCACCGATCCTAAAAGCTCACCCTGAGCAAGCTCAGGTGAGCTAATAAATAGTGTAAAAAACAGAAGTAAATATTAACTGTCATTTACAAACAATGACTTCTGGCAGGGCAAATCTAAAGCTTGAATAAAGATAGGATTCTAAACTCCAATGTCGTAAAAATAAAAGTCAATTCTTCTTTTTTCAATTTCACAAAAAAAATATATAAAAAAATAATGCATATGTAAGTGCATCAAAATAAAAACATGCTTTCTATTTGCAGACATGAATGAAATCTTCCTATTTAAGGCACAACATCTCAAAGTAACATAGTAAAATATAACAAACAAAAACAATAACAAAACTCAAAATGGAAACTTTAAGACAAACAGCAGCCTATTTAAGCGTAAAATGTTTTAAACACATGACATAAATTCTCAAATGGTAAATTTCTAGCAAAACAATTTTGCTACTTATCAAATTGCACAGACGTTAAATTATCACTATATACAGACCAAAGTTACGAAACATTTTACAAACATGTGTCAAGAAACTTGAATGAGCTCCACACTACCGTGTACAGAAGTGTGACTACTTGTGGAAGATAGACTGCTGTTTGATTGATAGTGCTCAGAAATATCGGACACACATGCAAGTTTTTCTAACAGAGGTGGGGAAGCAAATCTATCACGATTCAAACCACAACGACGTAAAACACGGTCAAAATGCGAAAACTCACAATTCGGGGCCGAGCTATCGTCCTCGGAACTAAGTATATCATCTAAGCTACGTGATTTACGACTTGCATCAAATGATTGAGATTTCATCATCGCAGCTTCCATAGCAGCAGTTATTTGTCTGTAAACTTCTCGCTCAGAGTAACGGCCAAGACGAAACCTAACGTCGGCCATGTACTCAGAGTGCTTTGATTTTCTACCGTTTTGTGCGTACAGTTCTGATGTGTCGTCCTGAGATGCTGAACTGCTTGCAGAATTTGGAGAGCCTTGGCAATCTGAACCAAGGTCAAAAGTTGGATACGTTGAAAAAGCAATACTGTTTGGCCGTACCATGGGCCTTTTTGCACGTCCTTCACGTTTTTTAACTACCACCACTGGTTGGTTATTTGTTACTGATGATGCTGATGTATTAAGTGCTGAACTATTACAACTGCCTTGGGATCCTTGTGAAAGAGTTGAAGTACTTTCATTCATGTCAAATATATCGTTATTCAACGGTCTTTTCAAACCACTTGATCTGGGAGAAGTTGAAGTTGAATGTAAATTTTCATTTGAACTTGACAGACATGGGGTAAAGTTTAGTTTATCAAGAGAGGTAGAAGGAAAGCTACTTAGTTTCTCTAAATTTTCATTGAAAGACTTGAAACCAAACTTTAAAATGTCCCTTTTTGAAGGGGGGAAAAATCTGTCGTAAATTTGATGGGGTCCATTTTTTTACGTCTCATTGTTTAGTATCACTAATTTTTTTTTGAACTATTTAAAATAAAATTTGGGCCAGCAATTTGTAGGGGGCTTTTGCTGCCAAAGTTAAAAGGGAATTGGCGGGTTTATAAATTGAAAAATTTTAATTTTAAACCCTATGTGACATTGTTTTCTGAACTTTTTGGGGAAAGTTTCAATGACCCTTGCCCTTTATGTGCAAAAATTTAATGTTTTGGGTCTGTTGTAGGGGTTCCGGCTCTTTAAAGAATTTTCCGCGGGGATCTTCCCCTTTAATCTAAAAAGCGGGGGTGGAAACAAAGGCCCAATGCAGAATTTTTTTTTCAGTTTTTTTCGACCCAAATTTTTTTACCTGATTGTTTCGTCTACAGGCGATAGAGACAATGACAAAGAACTACGTAACGGTCTTTTACCACCTGCTTTCAAAAATGGTCCTGAGAGAGAAAAGGGTTCAGTGGCACTTGGTGTGTCAGAGGTCAAACAAGTCAAAGGGTCGGTCATTGGTTTAGATTCAGAGAGACTAGAAATAACTTGGAAATGTTTTGGTTCATCGGACGTCACAACTCTCGAATTCTCAGTGATTGTTGTGCAAGTTGTTTGTCTTTGTATATTCCCTGAATAAGGTACATAGTTCTGGTCCTCTGTCGTAGAATGCACCGGTATTGTTGTCTCGCCACAAGGAAATGGCGACAGCAATGGTGGTGCATTGTGTGTGTTAGTGAATGAGGTAGAGTATATATACTCGTTTGGTTGTAAGTTCACAATCGGAGATGGCGTCTCTGACGCCTCCTTTATATCCGTCAAAGATTTGGGGCCTTTCGTTTAAAATCATTTCCAAAACCCAAAAAATCCCGGGGAGACGTCGATTTTTGTTCAATACCCCAAAATTTTAACATACAAAATCGCCCCTGAGTTTGCTCAACCCCCAAAATCCTTGAGTCAACTTCAAACTATCCTTTTTGAAAAAATGTTTCACTGGAGATTTAGTTAATGGTAAATTTTCATGTTTGAATTTTTCTTTTCCAGTACGCTGTTCAGAATCGTCATCTGGTCGAACAAATTTACAAACTTCACCGTGCATTGATAAACCCTGAGAATTTTGTATTTTAGTACTTTGAAAATCCATTTTTTTCCTTGAGACAGCTGTTTGGGGACTTAATAGTAACGGTGTTTGTTTCCATGAAATACTCGGACAGGACATGGTCATAGAGTTCCTCGTGTTATTAAAGTCAATACTTCTTGTATCACCCTTATCTTTATTGACATTATCAATGTTGTTCATATCTATTGCACCTTTCTCCTGTTTAAGGTGTTTTTCAAACTCCAGCAACTGTCCAAGAAAGTTGAATTCGGAGAAAACGTTTTGGGTTTGTTTTTCCTTCAAAATACCTGGGAATAAAAAATTAAACCCCATGTAAGATCATTTTTAAGTTCCCCAAAAAGTAAAAATTTTCCCTTTTCTTTAATTTTGAAGTGAGAAATAAATATAATATTTTAGTTTGAGAAAAAAGCCTTTTGGGGGCATTTTAAACTGGGGTCTTGGTTAAAGGGTTTATAATATCCCTTTAAAACCAAAAATCAATAAATGATTGATTTTGGGCAAGCTTTTTCATGAAAAATCTATTTAAACCCTGATACTGATATCCCCTGATTTACATTCTTAAAAGGGAAATTTTTTTGATTTTATTTAACATTCCCCACCGACACATTAAAACGGGCTTAAATGGGGGAGCAGGTTACTTTCCCCCTTTTAAATGAAATTTAAAAATATATTAAAATTTACCCCTTAAATTTAAACCCCTTTCCCTAAACCCGCTGGAACCAGAGTGATTAGCCTTTCCAACCAGTATAGAGCCAGGCCAGCCTGCACTTCCATGCAGTCAGACCAGGTTCAATACTGTTGAAAACTCTGAATTTCAGTGTTTTGATAATTAATTCCTTTAGGTCTAAATACAAAGCAGAAAAATCCATAATATAACTTCAGCAGGTTAAGGGCTAAATATCACTTCCATTTTCTAACAGGTTACTGGTTAAAAGACAATTGTAAATCTCTATTTGTAACACTGACTGTTAAGACTGTTTTATGAATTGTTTTGTATCATTAGCACAGAAGCTCAAGGCCAACTGTGAACACATTACTGCAATCAGGCACTAAAAAGAGTTACAGTATGAAATCAAACTGTTGAAGATTGATGCTGAAATCCCTAACAGTAACTTAGCCATGTGGCAAAAATTAACAGTTTTTTTATGCTTATGTACTCAAAAACAAGCTAGGTGTCCCACCAATTTTTCTTCTTCTTTTGGCTTTAATTGTTTCTTTTTCATTATATTTATTAACTTCAGTAGATATTGAGATTAAGTAGTAATATATGTGCCAAGTAGAGAAATAATCAACACTGAACAGGTAGTAAAATGGTTACTTTTATATATCTGACCTGAAAAGCAACAAAGAACAAAGGCCAAAGGACCAATTTTGTCTAAACTGGACGGAGGCCCCCGAGTTGGTAAATCAGAATTAGGCAACAACACAGATTTGTTCATATATAAAACCTTTCTTGAGGATTGTTTTTCCTATACTCACAAAAACAAAACAAAATCAATGCAGTATAAAGTAAATATTATTTAACAAAGCACTTTACAAGGTCATGTTTACAATTTCTTGTTATCTAGCCATTATACCAGTCCTAACAAAAAAAGAAATATAAAATAAAATGTTTTTTGTTTGCTTACAAATTCTTATCAATCTGTTAATCTTAAAATATGTAATGGCACTAGCTTTTTTTTTTTTAAGATAAATACACAATGTTTTAAGTATACATGATATATTAGCAAACACAAATTTATCGACATTGTCTCCCTTTTGTTAGTCCTGCAGATATTTGGTAACTATCATTTATGAATATAAATAATATATAATCTTCCTGTTTACAAGACACATCCACTCATAAGTCGCACCCCTTATATGGGGGATTTTTATGTTAAAGTTTTGATAATGCAATTGTAATATTCATACAGATTCTTGAAATGTGGACAAAGTGTCACTGTATTGCACTGTATTGCAGTAACGGGCTAATTCCTATTGAATTTTATAGGAGTTAATTTGTTACTGCACAAAGGTGACGATATATATGTTCTAGATGTATTACTGTTTATCTTAACTAACACAGGGGCAGCCTAAGCCTAGTGCTGGTTCTGTCAGGAAAGAACACTCGAGAGAGGTTCAAGTAATGAATAAAACTTTGAAACTTCGAAACTTTGTATATTTAAATAGTGTTTACACACTAACAAATAGAGGGGACAGATGTTCCCCTAACTTTTCAATCTAAAATTACTTCAAGACTTTCACATGAGACTTTTCACAGTTTTTTCACGTATGTGCTTTATATAAACAAATTAAACAACCAGTTCGCTATCTTGTAACTTAACTTCCTTGAAATGTCGCCTTAAAAACTTAATGTGCTATAGGTAAAACAAATTACTTCACATATTTGAAAAAGAAAAAAAACTTTGTTTGTAATTGGAAGTTTTCTGTAAGATGGATGCATTAACCATATAAATTGTATTGAATATAATTGTTTACCTATAAGCGTCATCGGAGGACATGTTCAAATGTTTCATGATGTAGGCTATCGCCAATGTAGGTGATCGAGAAATCCCTGCCAAACAGTGCACCAAACAACAACCATTAGCTTCTCGTACTTTATCTGTCATAAAAAATAAATCAGTTCACAGCCTAAAATAGCATTCTAAACACCTCACAACTCTACAATCACAACTCTACAATCACATAAAAATCAACTTAAAGGGACTCCACTGAGGTTTTTTGATATTACGGGACTGGAAATTTTTTTTTTTAGATTAATGTTCCATTTGATGTAGGTCTAGACTATTAACTTGTGTGCAAAATTTTAGATCATTCCCTCACTCTGTTTTTCCAGACTAATTATTCTAATTGTGAAAAATGACCAATAATTGAAAAGTTTTGCAATGCATTTCACTAAAATAAAGTATATTTATAAGTTTATTTCTTAATTATCTTTTGCATAAATCATCTTTCTGTTTTAATTACCCCAGTTGATCTATATAAGAAAGTTCAAATTGTATGTTTTAAGACCTTTGAACCTCAGTGGAGTTCCTTTAACACATACTTCACTTGCAGACTTAAAAGAAGTTCTACAATGTGACCTCGATGTAATCAAAGTCTGACTGTGTAATCTTTACATGAGTTACATGAACACTTAATTGAACATTTGAATGAAACGCATTTATATATGTTTTGTAATTAAAAACATGTAGTCAACATGCATGACATTCCTACTTTCAGTTTATCAAAACAGTAAAATCAGCAAAAAATAAAATAATTGTAAATTTAATGATCTTACATCTGTATCCTTCTATTTACATCAATTAAGCTAAAGTGTATATGATATTCATTGTTTAATGAGGCACTATCCATGAAACATAATCATTTTTGTTTATGTTTCAAAGTCTCCCGAGATAACTATTATATAAGAATAACAAGATTCTTTTCTCAAAAACAAGTGGCTAAAGTAATTACATTTAAATCAATGCAATTTGTTTGTACAAAGAAAAACAACAAACAAGCAGCTTGTTGAGCTATTATGTAAAAATTGTACTGAAAAGATGACAGCTGCCCAATTTAAGCTCTGGTGAGCCTTAGGACATCAACATAATAATGACATAAGGTACATGATAATAATACTGTTTATGACATGCATATAATATGACATACCTAGAAACTGGAATGCCTGTTCAAAATGCGGTGTAAGTTTGGCACTATAGTTGTCGTTTACTGGAATGCGCAAAAAATGACCATCTGATATATTGGCTGGTTTGATGCATGTTGTGCTCACATTCAGGATGTATGTTATCTCGTTTACCTGAAATAAACAATAAACTTTTCATATTTTTGTCAATAAAAAACTTCTTACAACAATTAAAGCATATCAATGTTTGTTCAACACAGACACCCTGTACTTTACCAGGCAGTGAGTAAAAATTGTGGGAATATTTGGGAAAAATGAACTGGGTTAAACAAAAAAGCTTGGGGAGATGGTGTAAAGGGCCCCTTTTCACCTTCATAGAATTTGGGGGCCCCCCGTGGAAAAAAATTTGCAAGAAATTTAAAACAAACAGTTTAACTTTCAAAAGTTTTTTCCCCAGGGGTCCCAAAAATTTTAAAAAAAAATTTCTTTCCAAATTTTTTTGATAAAGATGTCAACAAATCTTTACTCTGGTTGCCATAGCAATGTTGACACTGTTATATTTAACTTAATTTTAGTATTATATTACCAAAGTCTGTAAGTATGTCACACAAGAAACCTGAACTGTTTAATCACCAAGTAGTGATTCTGGAGAAAACATTTCATTAGGAAATTACAGAGATATCCTCTCATGTGAGTTAAAGCAAAAGTCATTCTCATGTTTTATATGAAAACTCATTTTTCCGCTAACAAGTTCTATATACATTTATTTCACCATTTTTGCATGACAACCATTTCATAGATATAACAGATCAAGTTGGTTGGAGAAGGCCTATTACTGATCATGCAGAAGACATTTGGAAGTGTTTTTTATTTCGGCTCTAGTAGTTATCATGAGGAAACTCTTGAGGAATTGCCAACCATGTGTGATGAAGTTTCATCAATTTGTTCACTAGCAGAAATGGCTGTAAAATTGTTGTTGTTTTCTCCACTAAGCTAATGTGCTTAAATTAATTACAATGATCAATCCTAAACAATTGATTTGACTGTGAAGTTTGAAGCTGTTTTTAACCTTTCTTGAGTACATTTCTTTGAAGTAATCAATACTAAAATTTTTCCCCCTTTGTGCAAAAAAATTGGGTTTAAATTTATTTTTTAAATTTAATAGGGGTTAACCAGTTAATTTTCATAAGGTGACATAATGTGTTTCAACCCAAGGGAAATGCCCCAAAAATTTCGATCCCCTTCACTAAGAGGCAGACACTCTGTCCTAGCTAGCTAAACCTTTCACATTTTGTAGAGATAAACTTGAAACAGGGAAAATGTATGAACATGACATTTTATTTCATTAAAAAGCTATGAACAGGCAATATTTCACCTTGTAATTATTTGCGCCGGCCATTTAATCAAACTGACCAAAGTCTGTGACGTAATTATATATAAAATCTTATATTCTATCTTTGTAACAATAGTGCGCCCATTTGAAAATGGCAAGGTACAGTATGCCTATTTGGAAATGTGAAAACGGCAAGGTACAGAATGCCTATTTGGAAATGTGAAAACGGCAAGGTACAGAATGCCTGTTTGGAAATGTGAAAATGGCAAGGTACAGAATGCCTGTTTGGAAATGTGAAAATGGCAAGGTACAGAATGCCTGTTTGGAAATATGAAAATGGCAAGGTACAGAATGCCTGTTTGGAAATGTGAAAATGGCAAGGTACAGAATGCCTGTTTGGAAATGTGAAAATGGCAAGGTACAGAATGCCTGTTTGGAAATATGAAAATGGCAAGGTACAGTATGCCTATTTGGAAATGTGAAAACGGCAAGGTACAGTATGCCTATTTGGTAATGGCCAATAAGTTTCCTACTTCATTTTGCAATAACAATTACTGTAAGTGCATGTCTTGGAAATCTGCCCTTAGAAAAGCTGAAGCGACACTTAAATGACAGTCAATGCCATCAAAATAATGCCACTCCCAAGTCTGACCAGACCACGATATACATAATTCCCTGCTAGTTTATTTTAGGGTTTTTATATTTTTATCACTAACATATTGTCACCTTAGTGCAGAAACGGGTTTAGTTCTAAATTTAATAGACATAAACCAGTCATTGCACTAAGGTGACGATATGAAGTTTTTGTGTCTTCGTAAGAATGATAAGACATAGATGTGCATATATTTTGATGTGACATCATTATGATACACAAACATAGTGTAAAGTACAAGAAATGTATATGTAACATAATAATCTAGCCATTTAAAACATTTTGGCAGTAAACTTTCCTTATCTGGGTATGTGACAGAAATTAGCATTATATTCATATTAACTAAGGTTCGTTCTTTGTGTGTGTGTGTGTGTGTGTGTGTGTGTGTGTGTGTATTTGGTTTATTTACCGACCCTCGCCTCCGAACTGAATCATATGGGCGAGCAAAGCTTCGTTACTGAACTTATAGAACTCTTTGAATAAAAACAATATTATACTCTCAAGAGGTTGACACAAGTTAGTTTTATTCAACTAGTTTTACAAATTCAGTATTTTAACATACACTTACTTGATTTATTTTATTTACTTTTTAACTGATATACAGTCCTAAATTAAAAAAATTATTTAAGGGATAAAGTTAATTCATCTTGTGGCACCAGAACCTTTCAGACCAAGAACAGCCAGCACATCCATGCCATCTGATCATGGTCTGCACTATTCCTTATTCATACATTCAAATTAAAATCATCCCTAAAAATGAAAAAATGTTTCTTTTCCAGATTAAAATGGGGACAAGTCCATTTTAATATATATGTATAAAGACTAATAAGGTTAAATTGAATCTACATGTTAATTACACTTAACTCACAGGCAGACGAAATTAATGTTCATAAAATATAGAGTAAGCTACAAGAGCAGAGAATCTATCAATGCCAGCTGATATTCTATTAACATTACAGTGGTGATGATTCATGATTAGAACAATCAATATTATATACAATAGACCCACTCAGCTGCTCTACGCAGATGACAATGAATCAAAACAAATGAAAACACACTGAGCAATATATGGCCGCTTCCTTGTTAATAGATAACCTAGTCCATGACATTCCGTGGGCTGATCGCAAAACTGTTGTAAGTCCTTCATTATTTCATAAAAGTTACAGCAGTTTTGCGGTCAACCCTCGATTTTTACATCTCCATAAAATGATGACACCTTATCATTTATGCAGAGTATGACCCACTTCGATAACTTTAAAGTTAACAACTTCACTGTTACATAAAGTCATTTAAATATACATTATACATAATCACACAGATTCTGGATCTAAATAATGAACTTTCATTCACGCAAATTATACCCTCAAACCCTCAATTTACCGTGCCTAAATATTTCTGATTAATTAATTTTTCTGAGATATAATGATTGTCCTTCATATTTCATCATATAGATTTATTTTATGAAAATTATCTCTATTCAAATCATAACAAGAGAGCCATTTGGGACCTAAATCGCTCACCAGTATGAGTCATATTTGCTCAAAATAAGTTTAACGATATCATTTTTTCCCTGAT